ACCTGCTTTGTCTTTGAGAAGCCGAGTTTTTCAGCACATTTCTTATGCAGTTTTTGTGGTAAAATTAGGTTAATTGGCTGCTATGCGAGTCAGCTTATACTTGAGTTTATATGGTACTTTTATAGTTATTTTTATTTGTTTAATTCCTTCAACAAAATTATATATCACAGGATCCTTATGAGTCAATTAACTTAACAGTAACAGGACAATGTATAATATATATCTTTAAACAAGAGAGTCATGGAACCTGTGACTGACATTTTTAAAATGTACATACCTTTCAAACTCCTCCCAAAATACACATCTTTCAAAGATTTTCATTTTTACCAGATACTGTCGACAAGTGCTGTGTGAAACCGTGCGGACTGCCAAACTGACTCCAATTTCTGCCCGGCTGCAAGATATTGAAGGAAAGATTGACCAATTTATTATTCCCAGAGAGGTAGAAAACACTTGGCATATGTAAATTCTTCTTAACTCTTTCAGTATTTATTTTTAAATTTCATTGTTTACAGCACCCTTAAATTTTACCTATTATCCAAAGAGCAATAGTTTGAAATTACAAAGTAATGTGTGTTTATTTTAAAATTAGGACAATATAAAGTCTCCCCTCCCTTCTGCAGTATATTAACACACATTAACAATTTAAATTGTTTGTATTTTTATAGATCTCTTTCATGTATGTATATCAGTGTATCTAGGTGAATGTGTATGTTTTCATTTTTCTTTTTTTCCTGACTCTTATACTTTCTGAACTTTGTCTTTGGGCAAATGCTGCCCTTTTGATTGCAAAATGTTGATTATTCCTTAGAAGGGTGTTCCCCGCCTGTCATTGGTCACTATTTAGACACCTGCTGTTTGGCTGAAAATGGAGCCACAGGGGTTACTTCTGTTCCAGTGTGGAAGGGTGATAGAGGCCCATAGTTTCACTGCTCTCAATTTTACCTGTAAACCTGTTCTTTGTCTGATTGTGATTTTCACTCTACAATCTTTTCCCTTTCGAATGTGATCCATTTCATAGCAGATGGTAACCAGGCACCATCTAGTTCTTCTTGGTTTCAGGATCTTGGAGGCTGATTAGTCCTCCGGTCTTATTGTTTTTGAGTGCCTTTGATTTTCTTCTAGCTTATTTGCCTCAGATGAGAGAAACCAATACATTATATTGCTGTATGTATTTTAGTTGTGAATTAGAAACGTATGTTGAAAACTTTCCTTTTTCTTACTGAATATATCATCATTATTATTGTAACTATCAGTTGATAAGAGCTGGTTCATTATTTTTAGTGATTTTATAAGATCACATTGTATGAATGTAGCATATTTTATTTAAGCAATCATGTTGATGCAAATTTAGATTGATTTTTTTAACTACTATAAAATATATACTTAGTTATTGTGTAATCTTAGAAATGGATTTTCTGGTCAAATTGCATGTGTACTTTCCAGTAATCAACTTAGACTTTAGTCAACAGTACATGAGAATGCCTTTCCCTTCCAAATACTCACCTGTTCTGGATTTATGAATCTTCTGTATAATTTTTGAGTTATAATGTTCTCAAACATTCTGGGGAAAATGTTCTTGTTGTTTTGTGTTTCCCTGTTCATTGGAGGAATTGAGCAAATATTTTAACAAATTTTTATTTCTGTTTTCAGCCCCAAAATGATTTTTTTTTCCTTTGCAGACTCTTGTCCTTTATGCCCTTGGAGTTGTACTTCAGGATCCTAGCACTTGGCCGTCACCACACAAGTATGACTATCACTGTCTTTGTGTTGTTGTCTTTTATCTCTTTGTATGTTATATACATTTATTTTCTAATTCTCGAGAAAATTAAATGCAACAATTATAAAACAAGAAATCCATAGCCTTGCCTTTACGTCTTCTGTTCACTGCCTTTTCTCTTACATGAATGTCTCATATATTGCGCTTTATCACTTCTTTCCTAAGATTTGTTTAATTAGCAGATCTCTTTCCTTTAATAGCAGTGAAACTTCAAACTTTTGTTAAATAGGTCGTGCATCTAGTTTCCTTTTCTTCCACTAGTCTCTATCATCTACTATTCAGCTGCTCGACAGAATTTGGAAAACAATCAAGTGTCCTGTGAGCTCCAAGTTGGGGAAAATACTACCTCTTCTTTTGTGTTCACAGCCCCAATTAGCATAGTGAAAGCGCTGGATAATTTTGTTGGTTCTCAAGCACCTGGGAAATGAACTTTGTTTTATGGATCACATTTTGGGTAATATTAATTTAGACAATGTGGTTCTGGGGTGACAGAAATGGGTAAGCACTGTAGTACTAACCAAAGGAGGGTGGTTTGATCCCACCCAGAGGCACCTTGGCAGACAGGCCTGGGAGTTTGCCCTTGAAAGGTGACGGCAGTCTTGCAAAGCCCTGTGTCTTCACACACGGGCTCCATACGTTTGGAACAGAGATGGCAGCAGCAGCGAACAACAGTTCCGAACAAGGAGTCATTGAAGGTTTAAGCGGGTGAGAGAGAGTCGAATTTACCTTTTAGAAAAATACATTCCTCTTACGATAATAGTTTGCGGAATAGTTTGAAAGAGGCAAGGCTGAAGGTAGAGTTTTATAAGAAACCTTGTTTTTGTGTGTTTACTTGTAAGAAAGATAGCAGGAATATAGGCTCGGGCTAGATGGTTAAATCCTGCCTTAAGACAAGCGTGGAAGATGAACTTGGGTGAAGTGGGTTAGATTTTTGTGGAAAGGAGAGGGAGGAGACTTGAGGTGGCTTCCAGTGTTCTAGCTTCAGGGAAAAGGTGAGAAAGCCTAAACAAGAGCTCCAAGAGTTGACTAGGGAAGGAAGATAAAATCTTACATGTGTTGTTAGAAACATTTAAGTAGAAATACTAGCTCTTGTTTTTTAAAAAATGTTTTATTGACATAATGTATTTAAAAGAATTGTGCAATTAAAAAAAAAGGAATTGTGCAGTCATCATCATAATAAATTTTAGAACATTTTCTTCATTCTCATACCTATTATTTTTAGCTCCCCGCTATCTAACCTTCCCTGCCATAGCCTTAAGGAACTATTTGTAGAATTATTGTCTATGTATTTATCTAGCCTGGATTTTATATAAGAAAATCAAATAACCCCAGCGACAACAACAAAGTAAAACACAGAAAAACTCATTTCAAGAGAAAGCAGTATAGAAACTAGAACAAATTAAAAATGGCTTAAAAGGGAAAGCAAATGATAATATGTTCAACCTAAATATATCTACAGTAATCCACTTTCCAGTGACACCTGTCAGAGGTCAAGACTATTCAAACCCTAGTCAGTGGTCTGAGGGAATTCAGTGGAAGCTTCATCCAAGTGGGGACACTGCCAGTAAGTAGATTTTAGGCTTTCACTGTTATGCATAGCCTTCTGAAAACTAGATATATTTAAGCTCTAGTATAGTTCCCTCCTCTGATCTTGACTTTTATTATTTACAATCCTTTGATGTCATGGGCTGTTGTGCCTTTCCCATGTAGACATAGCTGATACCTCACTTAGATGGCTGCTTGTTTTAAGACAAGCCTTTAAGACCCTAGACAACTTTTTGTCCCTTTGAAAGCAGTCACTGTTTTTGTTTTGTTTTTCAATTAATTTTTAAAAATCATTTTATTAGGGGCTCATACAACTCTTATCACAATCCATACATACGTCAATTGTGTAAAGCGCATTTGTACATTCATTGCCCTCATCATTCTCAAAACATTTCCTCTCCACTTAAACCCCCAGCATTAGGTCCTCATTTCCCCCCTCCCTCCCCACTCCCCCCTCCCTCATGAGCCCTTGATAATTTATAAATTATTATTTTGTCATATCTTGCCCTGTCCAACATCTCACTTCACCCACTTTTCGGTTGTCCATCCCCCAGGGAGGAGGTCACATATAGTTCCTTGTAATCAGTTCCCTCTTTCCAACCCACTCTCCCTCTATCCTCCCAGTATCACCACTCACACCACTGGTCCTATAGGGATCATCCGCCCTGGGTTTCCTGTATTTCCAGTTCCTATCTGTACCAGTGTACATCCTCTGGTCTAGCCAGACTTGCAAGATCGAATTCGAGTCATGGTAGTGGGAGCGGGGAGGAAACATTTAGGAACTAGAGGAAAGTTGTATTTTTCATTGTTGCTACATCGCACCCTGACTGGCTCGTCTCCTCCCCGAGACCCCTCTGCAAGGGGATCTCCAGTGGCCTACTAATGGGCTTTGGATCTCCATTCCGCACTCCCCCCATCATTTACGATAGTAAGATTTTTTGTTCTGATGGTGCCTTATACCTGATCTCTTCGACACCTCGTGATTGCATAGGCTAGTGTGCTTCTTCCATGTGGGCTTTGTTGCTTCTGAGCTAGATGGCCGCTTGTTTACCTTCAAGCTTTTATTAAGAGACCGTTTTACAAAAATAATCATGACAGGTACCTTAGTTCATCCTTCTAATAAGCCTGTTGATCTGGGCTTCCCTGTTGCCTGCATCTCCACCTTCTACAAAATGGGTGGTCTTTTTCTTCATCCCACCTCATGGAAAAGATAATTGGAAGGGCCACAGGAAGTTACTTCTTTGAAGCATTTACCAACAGTATAGATCTCATGAATCAGATCCTCCTGCAGATGGTGCCATATTTACCAAGAGACCATGCAATCAGAGTGTTATCTGGTAGGGCAATACGCTTCTTATTGATTTTGCCATAACCACGCTTGTAGATGAGTTCATTCACAGACTTCAGGTTTGGGTACTCCCATGCAATGTATAGTTCTACAATCCTCAGCATGTTAACTGAAGCCTTGGTAAACTTAACACAGGTGCCATTGAAAATCTGGCGAGGGCAAAGAAGCTGGCAACACTTGTCGAACCTTTGGACTCACACCATTGACAGCTCTGATCCTGATAACAAACGCCAGCTTGGGCTCTCCAGGTACATAGAAGTTGCCAGCTTTTCTTGCCATCCGAGCCATTCAGATTGCAGTTTTGCACATCTGCCTGTATTCCTTGCGATTGTGCTTAGTTTTCTCGTAGATAACCTTCCTGCTTGCCTTTTGAAGCATCTTTTGGGCAAACTTCTTTCTCAGGTGTTTGGTCTTTAGTTCTGCGACATTCCTTCGCTTTTTCTTCAGGGTCTCTGGAACAGCAGGGACCTTCTTCTCAGGGACAGCTTCCATGATTCCTGCTGACTTAGTTTAAAAAAACAAAGGAGCCCAGACAATTCTTTCTGATAGCTGGTCACCATCTGACTTCTTTACCATACTTTGCTGTTGCATCCGTATCTTCAGTGATCACTTCATGAGGGCAAGTACTAATTCGCTTTCTCATAAGGTTCGAAATGTTAAACAGTTAAGATTTATGAATCTGAAATTTTAGGGAGGAGTTTTTTAGTAAGAATTTCACAGTTAATTAAATCCTTGGTGACAATTCTGATAAATGAATTTTTATTGGGTGATACCGAATATGGAAATTATTTTGCATTTCTTTAGAATATATATTTTTAGTAAATTTGATATATACACATAGCTGACAAGGGAGTTCCCAGTAAATAAAACATCGTGTATTTTAATTGTGTCTTTTAAAATGTTTACTTTGAAACATCACTTTACTCTGAAGTTTCTGGCATGTCTTGGATATTGGAAATATATAATCACATTACCTTTTTTGTATGTATTTCATACTTCTAATGGTTAACTTAAGAAATAATGCTTTTTAAATACTCATTTCAGAAATGACAGGTTTAGAATAAATTATAAGGTTATCATATTACAGGATATTGTGCTCATTTTTCAAAAGTTTTAAAGCTACTTTAAAATTTTCCTGTTTAAGTTATGAATTATTAGAGTTGACATACTAACAGCAACATGAATTTACACATATTTTCTACCTTGCTTCTTCAATCATCTGTCTCTGAAATTTATTGTAACTAACAGTATTCTTAAGTAGAGTCAGCAAAATTAGGTCAGATTTGATAACCAACTCCACTGCCATTGAATTGATTCTGACCCATTCTAACCCTAAAAAGCATTTCTAAGACTATCTTTACTGGAGCAGAAAGCCCCATCTTATTCCGCCATGGAGCAACTGATGGCTTTGAACCATTGACCTTGCGGGTAATAGTCCAATACTTACCTGACAAGGCCATCAGGGTGATAGCCTTTATTTTCTGTTCATCTCCAAACTTCAAACGAGTCATGTTCTATGGAATTGGAAAGTCTAATTTTCTGCCCGGTTTATAATTATATATCTGGTAGGATGTGCTGGAACAATAATCCATACCTATTAATACAGAACACATACAAATAACCTCCATTGATAAATACCTTTTCCAAAGAGCAAGGCGTTCACAAATATTTGTCCTGTATTATGGAAATCTTTATGTTTAAAAATATTGCAAACTTTACATAATGTTCCTTTTAAAGGGAACTCAAACTGGGTAAAGCAGTTTTCTTAGCTGCAGACACAGCAGTTATTTTAAGTTGTATTAATCATGAACTTATGGGGGAAAAAAACTTAAGGCATAGTTTGTGATGAGAGAATTTGTGAAAATGCTATGACCATGTCTTTTCTAGTCAAGTTTGTAAAGATTCAGATTCCATAAAGGTTGTATTTGCATATGTGTCTAAATTGTCTTTCCAGTCACAAGAAATAGTAAGATAAATTCATGCTTAATAGTTACTGAAATACGTACCATGTCATACATTCTTTATTCGTTTTAGCTTTTTATTTAAAAATAAATTATAGATTTAAGTGATGTGGCAAAAATGATACCAAGAGCATCATGTACCTTTACTCAGCTTTCTCTAATGGTGACATATGCCTACAAAAGCCAAACTCACTGCCTCCGAGTTGGTGCTGGCTCATAGTGACTCGGTAGGACAGGGTAGAACTGCCCCTATGAGTTTCCTAGACTAGCTCTAGGAAACATGGAGTACCCTGTTTTTCTCCTCAGGAACAGCTGCTGGTTTCAAACTGCTGATCTTGCATAACCACTATGCTACCAGTATAGAATTATTTAAATGCCACCAAATAATTCCCTCAATTCACATCTACCTCCTACCCATAAACCCTTACCTCTCCCTCTTACCCATTTTCCTGGGAACAATGGATCTGTTCTTTCTTTTATTGACCCCCTCCTTACTAACCCCTTACTAAACGTAATGACTTTGAGCTTCATCTAGGACAGAGTTTCCCAAAGTGAAAAATGATCCAGGGTGTGTGTGTGTGCAAAAATAGTTATTTATATTTTATCCTGAATTTGGGGCTGTGAGTTTTTAATTGCCAGGGAACTCTTGAGTAGTTTTTTTCTGAAAAGGGTGTGGTAGACCCAATAAGTTTGGGAATCCATGATCTAGGATGTTGCATGACATTTAATAATTCACTTTTTTAATGTCTTAATAATATTCTATTTTATGAATGAACCAGTGTTTGTTCAACCATTCTCCCATTGAAGGATAGTTGGATTGCTCCTGGTATTTTACTATTGTGAATGACACTGATATGAACACTTGTGCACAGATTTTGGTGTGAATGTGATGTTTTACCTTGATATAAAGTGCCCAAGAGTATGGTTTTATGAGAAAACTGCCAGGCTGTTTTCCAGGATGGCTGTACCATTTCATGTTCTTTTTAAAAAAAATCATTTTATTGGGGACTCATACAACTCTTATCACAATCTATACATCACTTGTGTCAAGCACATTTTTACGTTCCATTTCATGTTCTTATCATCAGTGCATGAGATCAATTTTCTCTGCATCCTCAGCAGCATTTGCTATTACCACCGATTTTATTTTAGTTGTTTGAATAGGCATATACATTGGTTTTAATACATTTTCTTTTTAGTAAATAATTGACATCTTTCTCTTCCTACTAAAAAAAAGTCTAGCTATAATTAATTTTTTTAAATTAATAGAAATATATGACTAGTGGTACTATATTGGCAGTTTTTAGAGCAAAGAACCCTAGATCAAGTTCTGTGATCTACATAAATAATAATGCAAATATTCTATGCTGAATAGTGAGATTACCAACTTTACAAAGCTAAAATATAATTCTCAATTCTTTTTTTTTTTTAATCATTTTATTAGGGGCTCATACAACTCTTATCACCATCCATACATCCATCCATTGTGTCAAGCACATTTGTACATTCGTTGCCCTCATCATTCTCAAAATATTTGCTCTCCACTTAAGCCCTTGGTATCAGCTCCTCATTTTCCCCCCTCCCTCTCAGCTCCCCCCTCCCTCATGGACCCTTGATAATTTATAAATTATTAATATTTTGTCATGTCTTACACTGTCCGACGTCTCCCTTCACCCACTTTTCTGTTGTCCATCCCCCAAGGAAGTCCCCCAGGGAGGAGGTTATATGTAGATTCTTATAATCAGTTCCTCCTTTCCCTCCACCCTCTGGAATTGCCATTCTCACCACTGGTCCTGAAGGGATTCACCTGTCCTGGATTACCTGTGTTTCCGGTTCCTATCTGTGCCAGTGTACATCCTCTCGTCTAGCTGGATTTGTAAGATAGAATTGGGATCATGATGGGGCGGGGAGAAGGAAGCATTAGAGAACTAGGGGAAAGTTGTCTGTTTCATTGTTGCTATACTGCACCCTGACTGGCTTGTCTCCCTTCTGTAAGGGGATGTCCAGTTGCCTACAGATGGGCTTTGGGTCCCCACTCCGCACTCTCCCTCATTCACAATGAAAATCCTTAATTCTTAACTGAAAAGAATGAAGACAAAGACATTTAAAACCTCAGTATGTGAAATTAAATGATGCATTAAGGGATTTCTGTTTTATTTTTAATTTGATGCTTTAAAATGTGAGGTGTCTTAAAATAATTTGAAAAATTAAGTTTTATCTCTTAATCTGAAAATATAAATACTGAAATAAACATTTTAAGTCTCAAATTTCAAGAGTTACAGAGGGAAAAGAGATTCAGTTTTATATGTACTATCTCATAACCATAATGTATCCCAAAAGTGAGAGATAATTCATATTTCCTTTTGCTTTTAAGAAAATAATCTTTTGTAAATGTTCTCATAGAATAGTGCAGCTTTTAAAAACAGTTCTGAGAGGAATTTTGATGCTTTAAGATAGGTAGATGATTTGTTTTGTTTTTCTCATAGCCATTCCCTAGTGAACTTCTATAGAATTAATGAAAATCCTTCCTAGTCTCTTCATTTTTACATAATAGTAAATTTGGGTATATTATAGTTAATAAGTTTAATTTTAAGGATAGAGTCTCCAATTTTAAGAAATAAATTTTCACTGAAAAACTACATAATGTCTCACATATGGATGGTCAGGTATTTTAAATACATTCAAATTTTGAAAATATTAACTAGGTGATTTTGTATGATTTATCCTTACATTGTGAAAGAATATAAATCTGTGTAACCATTCTCATTCCTTGCTGGTTTCAGAGTATTACACTTTGCATCTGTACTGTGTAGAAATAATATAATTCAGGAACATAATACATATAATGTGACAGCACTTTCTCTCCATTAGCACTTGAACTTTGTCACATGCATGTGTTCTCCTACGTGTCACTATGTGAACTGTCAGTGGAGCTCTGTGGTAACTGGTTTCATATCTTCATTTTAGGTTTGATCCAGACCGATTTGCTGATGAATCGGCAATGAAAATATTCTCCTTGCTTGGATTCTCAGGCACACAGGAATGCCCAGAGTTGAGGTGAGGTGAGAGAGGGAAAGCAACATAAAACGACATTGCTGGACTGTACTTAAAATTCCAATGATCATTGTTGATGAAAATGATATCTGTATAGTTAAAGTGTGATTTCTGTTATTGGCAGATTAGCTTTAGTAAAGAGTTACCTTTCTTCCTGACTAGGTTGGCGTATATGGTGACCACAGTTCTTCTGAGTGTCTTGGTAAGAAGACTGCACCTACATTCTGTAGAGGGACAAGTTATTGAAACAAAGTATGAACTGGTCACATCGTCAAGGGAAGAAACCTGGATCACTATCTCAAAGAGATATTAAAATCTTTGGGTTTTGTTTGATGGTATAAAACAGGTTTATTTTGCTTGGGTGCAGGGGTATAGGTGAAGAGGGTGTATGAGAGAGCAGGATGGGGACCCATCTTCTTTGTGTAACTTTTTTTATAATGTTTAATTTTTTTAAATTACTAAATACTTTTTATTTTTTTACTAAATACTTTTATTGGGGGCTCTTAAATCTCTTATCACAATCATCCAGTGTGTCAAGCACATTTGCACATATGCTGCCATCAGCATTCTCTAAGCATTCTCTTCCCACTTAAACCCCTGATATCAGCTCCCCGAGATATTAAAATCTTAAACACTAAATATCTTGTTAAATAGACTGTGGAAATTAACCATTTATGAGTTCTTACATTGAATCCTTTTATAAATCAAGTATCATTTTGCTACTTAAACTTTTTGTATTTTTATTATGTGAATTTGTATTTTTGTATAACAAATTTTTTTAATGCAGGATATATATGTATACTTATTGTACCACTATAGTAGTAATTTTAATGAGATGCTTTAGCATTCTACTTTAAAATTTTGATTTTTCACTTTTTTGACTTTTAAAAAAATTCCTTTTCTTAGTTCTTTAAAATTGATATTCCTGGAAAAAATTTTATAGAGGCTTGGGAATAATGTCTTCTGAAACTCATAAAATAGTCTTTTTTTTAAGAAGCAGTCTTTTCATACTTTCAGTAAATCAACAGAAAGGGAAAGAAAAAAATACACTTTCTATAATTTAAATTTTATTTCCTGGGTTATTATTTTATTTTAATTAAAAAATTTTTTAATTCATTTTATTGGGGGCTCGCACAATTCCCATCACAATCCATACATCCATTCACTGTGCCAAGCACACCCGCACACCCGCCTCCATCATCATTCTCAAAACCTTCTCCCTCCACTTGAGCCCCTGACATCTGTTATTTTTATTTTATGGTTATAAGGTAGTTTGTATTTTAGTGATTTTCATTCAGTTGAGTAATTTACTATGTACTCTACCTTGTATTTGCCAATTTTTGCCTTGCCAGTATTCATTTTCATTTCATGACTTAACTATTTTGAACAGTTCTGAATTATGTGGAAAATAGTACAGTTATTTTTGAATATATTTAGAAGTGCCCCTCCTAAATGACAAACTTGGATTGATGCTTATTCTTCCATTTTTCTGGAAACTTTAGTAGCGCTATATTATTTAACTAATTTTTATTTGTGGGGAGAAAAGGAATTCCTAAATTGGTTATATAAATATGTCATATGCTAACTATAGTGTACTTGTGATTAAGAAATGAGGGCACACTAATCAAAAACAAAAAACCCACAAAGAATGAAAACCGTGAAAAGTACATTTATGACAAAGCTAGATACTGTGTGCATTGCGTAGATTACCTACAAACTCAGAAGAAAAACATCAAATAGATATAGAAAGACATGAGCAAGCAGCCTTTGCAGGAGGAAAGACAGAGAGAAATATTCATTCTCACTAGTAAGCAAAGAAATACAAGGGCTATTTAATATTTAAGTATCTTTAGTACTAATGAGTAGTGGTAAATTTTATGTAAAATATTTTGGTAGCATTATGTCTCAGTGCAGTGTTCTGGTCACACTGAAAAAAAATTTTTTTTAAATATATTTTTCTTTAAGACAACAACTGAAGGAAGTGCCAAGCAGATAGAAAGGATAGGAAGTAAAATGATAATTGTTTACAAGTGAGTTTATTTTTAACACTGCTGAATTTCATTTGTAATGTTACTTTCAAAGATGTAAGTCAGTTATTGAGTTACTTGGTTGTGTTAATGGTTAAATAGCTAACACTTTAGACCATTGTATGACTGGTCAACAGAGAATTTAAGGAGATTATCTATTTGTGAAATAATTTAAATTCTGAAACGTTTATCTTCCTTCCCCCTATCATTTGTTATGTCTCATGTATGTAGAGTTATCTTCCTTTGTTATTCAGGTACCATGAGTGGGTTGGAATTGGCTGTGGAAGGCTATGGAGTAGGCAATTGACAGGTAAAACATGTGTTAGTAAGTTCCGATCAGATAAACACAGTGAAATCTAGAAGCAAATGAGATTTAATGAGCAATGATCAAGGCAAAACAGGTCAGCTGAGCCGGAGACCCAGGGCTTTGCATAATTGCCAATAAGTGATGCAGTGTATAATTACTAATAAAGATCAGAGTCAAAGAAAATAGGACTTAGAAGAATCAGCCAAATATGCATATTTTGCCCATTGTTAAAATTACTCACTTAGAGCACTAAAAACAAATCACATTCCAGAGGATTCTTTCAAAATAAAAATACTGTTAATCGTTACAAAATGTTATCCATCACTGTTGTCCTATTTATGTAATGATTGAAATTTCATAGTCTTGGTGTCAGTGATCGCTCAAAGCTTGACTCAAGTGGTTTTAAAGTTGATTTAGAAGTGAATAACTTATTTTGTTGCTTAAAAAATTATTATAGATTTTGTTAAGCATTTTTTAATAGTGCACAAGTTTATTGTTAAAAACGGCAGCTCAAAAATGTAAAACAAGACTCACTTTCTCCTGACAATGACCCTCAGATAACCTTTGAACATGGAATTGAAGCTCTCTATGCTGCTCACCCTTCAGTCAAATATTAGATTGGTTTACAAATAAAACCTATTACCTGTGAGTAATGTGCTCCTTCAAACAATGACCTGTATGAGACCAACTGGTCATTACCCAAAGACAAAAGTGAGAAGGTAAGGGAGAGAATGGGAAGCTAGAACAGTGGATACAAAACAAACAGAATGGAAATGATGGCAATGCTGATAACATTGTAAAATTGATTAAAGGGGAACCTAATTGGCTGTTCAAATTTTCACCAAAAATACAAGAAACATTACAATGAATTCAATTGAATGCTTTCAAGTAAATAGATGTTAAGCATGGAAAAATAGCACAGAGCATTTTAAAAAATAGAATCAAAGGACTCTTCCACACTTTGTCCTCTTAAAATTTAAGGCAGAGTTAATTTTCCCACATTTGGGGAAAACGAAAAATTCGTATGCTCTTTATTTAACACCTAACTACAAATCTATCATGTCATATAAATAGATTCTATTGTTATTTATTGTCTCTGAAGAATTTTGTTTTTTAGCTTAGAGTAGTTTTTAAAATCAAAACTATTTCTTTTTAATTCTGAAAATAAATTTATTGTAGGACATCTAAAAGCACAGCACTTGTAAACAGTTACCTTATAGATAGTCACCATTAAGATTCTAATTTAGATTAGCTAATGTATTTTTACACATGTGAAATTTTTTACAGACATACTTTTTTTTATTTAATATATTTGAACCAATAGTCATTGCTCTAACTGGAACTTTTAATATTTTTAAACAGAAAATGTAAGTAAAGACTTTTATAATTTTCACTCTTTCTCTCATTCCCTTATCATGTATTATTATTAAATTGGCTTTATTTCTCCATCCAGACATGCACAATGAATATGCTAAAGCCATATAATTATTTAGGCATTACAATGAGCATTTAATGAAATTCATTATCCTAAGAAAAATTCCCCAGTGTTTTTCATACTCTTCCTTTTCTTTAAATTGAAATGCTATTACAACTCCTACAAAGTTTTGTGTTGAAAATTTGTAATAGTGTTGTTTGTAGACTCTGAGACAAACATTCAAATTCTTCCCTGAAGCCATCTATACACCCACTAACCCATAAAAAGCAGTTAACCTAAAAAATGCCTTTTTCATATGTGATTATCAGATTGAAAATCATTTTAAAAGCACAGTTCTAATGTAAAGCTGAGGGTATGCCCAGTAGTATTAAGGAATAATTTAGGAGCTGTGAAAAGAGAGCCAGTAGGACAGTGGACACTAATTTCAAAGGCAGGTTTTTCAAATGTCAACAGATTGAAAATAGTGACCTCATTTTTCTTAGAAGTTCTATGGCTGTTATCTAAATAAAGAAAGATCAGTGATTAAGGTAGAAGGAGAGGAACTGTGCAGAAGATTTGACAACAAAGCATCTCTGTTACTACGAAAGTCAGGAAGTCAGCACGGCCAAAAGACAAGTACAATGCGGCTTTGAGCTGTTCTCGGAGACCTGCAGGGATGAAAACCAGTGAGAATGAAACTTGCAGTAATAGCTTGGCTGAAAGAACAAGGGATTGTTACAGTGATTTGTTACAAACTGAGGGAGACCCACACAGACCCACACACAGGTTTGTTACAAACCAAGTGAATCTATATTCTTTGTTTTTTCCCATCTCCTAGAAGAAATGCTGCAAAAGAAGACAGGCGAATACTAGATAGAAACAGTACGTAAAAGATCAGAAGTCCAAACTGTCTTAATATTCTCAGTGAGGGTTACTCTATTGTTTTTAAGGGGGAAATAAGCAACATTGCAAATAGTTTACTAATGGAATCAGATCTAAAAAGTAAAAAAACCCAAACCTCTCAGTATTAAGAAGAATAAAATGATTCCTTAAATAGTATTAATCCAATCTTATTCATTGGTCTCAAGATCTGGTTTCCATAGGGGTAATATGCCACCAACTGTGAAAAATGTTGCACCTTGAGTTCTTTGAGGATATCTTCCATAGCTTTTCTTCCAACCTTGAGGGTTTGAACTCATTCGTTGGTGGCTAATTCCATATACACGTAACAGGATTCTATACTGTATCTTTTGTTCTAGTACTAAGAAAATCAGTCAAAATACTTGATGTATCAATAATGTTTCATGATACACTTCCATCTATTTGACCAACACTAACACAGAAAATAGTTTAAACCTAAAAGAATCAGTCCACTGCGATCAGGTCAATTTTGATTCATAGTAACCTTACAGGCAGGGTAGAACTCCGCCTGTGCATTTCGGAGACTGTAAGTAAGCCTTGAGGGGAACGGAAAGCCTCTTCATTTCCCACGGAGGGACTGGTGATTTCGTACTGCTGACGTTGCCATTGGCAGCCCAACAGAACCACAACCCAAAACTATTCAATAATAACATGTCAACTCAGT